GTGATGAATTTAAGGCTTATATCTAACTTGAAATTCTATGTTTATGTGTCATTGAGCTACGAACATCCAAAACTTGTAGGTTTTTTTAGTAGAATAGGTAGCTGTGATGCCTATACTTCTAATAATTTGAAAGAGACTATTATCAGTAAAGGTCAATAGAAGCATATATATCAGATAGCTTGGATCTTTAGTTGCAACTGGTTTTGATATTCATTAGGTGATTTTTGCCTTTTGAAATGGGTTCTTTACTCCTTTGGAACTTCTACACTTGTCATAGAATTTGAGACAATTATGTAAATTTTGAATAATCTACTTATGGTCCTCGTTGTATTTTCTACAGCCTCTCTTCTTTTAAGCAATCATTTTTTTTTTTTCTGGGAANGTTATATTCTGATACCATTTCATGATAAAAAAGAAAAAAAAAAAGAAGTAATTTGCTTGCATTGCTGCTCGATCTTTTGTATATAAATTGAAACCTATTATTTTGGTAATTTATTGCATCAAGTCTTATGTTAGCAATTGTATCTGTCACCTGGTGCTCTTGGCTTGTCCTGAATAATATAACTTTACAGCAAGAGAATGAGTGGTTTTGACATGGCTCCACCTGCTGCATTGCTTCCCAATCCTGCTGCTGCCGTTCCAGGTATCAACAAACAACAATTGCATAATTCAATTGCCATGATAACTACTACTTTTTTTTTTTGGTTTCCGTAGTGTGAAAAGTTCGTATCAAAGTACATGATGTCAATTGGGTAAGCGTACTCCGCCTTTCAGTTTGGAGTACTAGTTACTAGATTGATTATTAATTCAGTCTCTTATTTATTATTTGTTTGGTGATTGGAACTGAGAGGGTTTTGGTTTCTTGTTGTGTTTGTTTGTTTGTTTTGTTTGTTTTGTATGTCCTATGTAATTTCTAAGAAGGCAATGGTGGGCTACTAGCCCCACTGTGCTGACAATGGGCGTGAGCCGACTTCTGTAGCTTTTATGTACAAGGAAGAATAAACAGGTCCTGTCCATCTTCAACCAGGATTGCATGATTGATAGTTTTTGGAAACAATTTTTTTTATATATATTTTCTCCCATTAAGAGTTTAATTGCAGGGTGATAGTTGACAGAGTATGGATTTTTAATCTGGGAAAAATGATCAAAATATCAGCTTCAACCTCTTGCTTAAAAATAACAAAGGTTTCAATTTTTATATTTCTTATGTAACTTGGGTTTAGCATTCACAGGTCAGCTGCCTGTGACCACTCCAGTTATTCCTGGAATGTTTCCAAACATGTTACCTCTGGGAGCTGGACAGGTTTCTGAGTCCTTTATCTCATAACTTATTATATCCCTTTGATTCACATTTTAAATATTTCTCTTGACTTTATACAGTTGGCAGCACTTCCCGTAATGCCTGTTCAAGCAATGACTCAGCAGGTTGGATTTGTGTTCCTTTGTCCAGTTCTTGTTAATAATGATTGTCATTGATGTAATATTTCTTAAATGCTTGTTTGTCAGGCTACAAGACATGCTCGACGGGTCTATGTTGGTGGGCTCTCTGCAACTGCCAATGAACAGGTTGTAGTATGTTCTATATCTTTGTAGCACACATGTTTGGATATTTAACTAGCTATTAATATATGCGGTTGCATACATAGTCGTATATAAACGTTGAAGAATATTTTTTTCCCTTTAAACTGCTGCACCTTTCTTCAATCAATAAAAGCTTTATACCTTCTCATGCCATTATAATGGCATTGTGATTTTTGATTTTATGGAACTGTGGGGCGGCTTAGCCCGCAACCTACAAATATCGGCATCTCTTTTTTATTTCCGCAAAGCCCGCAAAAACCCGCAAAACCCCACAAAAGTCTTTAATTTATTTTGTTGTTAAAATTAAATTGATATTTAAAAGTTTTTTACTTTTGACTTTGTTATTTCCTCTCTTTATTTTATTCATTGATATTAGGCTTTGATTGATATTTGAAAGTATCATTTTGGTACATTTTTATGCACTTGTGAATTTTTCTGAGCAACACTTGGCTATATTTTGAAATATGCGAAATCTTTTTTATATATATATATTTTTTAGTAAGGTATGCAACATCTTAAGATAAACACAAAATATATAGATAAGTTGTAACCTTCCTCAGTGTACTTATTCCTTCAATTTTTTAACACACCCACAAAACAAATTACAGTTTCTCCATGTACTCCCATAACATATTAACGTAATTTAAACTACTCCATCTCATGCCCTTTTTTCGTGTACTTATGGAAAGAAGCCGGAAGCCGAGTTTTTTTTAAAACACATTAGCCCATAAATGTCAATAAAAAAAACTAGGCCAAACACTGTCCACCGTAATGAGCTCATCATTCTATTTCAAACCTCCGTTTTCCCTGAAGGTGTGGACTCAACAATTCCTAAATGTACGCAAAAGGCAGAAGAAAACAACTCACCTCATGTTGATCTGAACAACAAGTCTTTCGTAAAGTTAGCGGGAACATCATTGGACACGAATTTGCATTGGAATCAGTGAGAAATGATTTTTCACTAGTGGATTCGAAATATTACTTATGTATTCGTAAGAATCGACCAAAAATTGAAACCTTTTCTCCGAAGTCCAAATGAAAGGATGGTTGAGGATTTGTTTAGCTCGAAAGCCAATTTTTGAAAGAGAAGCAGCTCATTTGATTTCATATCTTCTTGTAAAGTCTCCAGCTGAACAAATCCTCAACCATCGATTCTTTTGGACTTCGGGGAAGAGTTTCAATTTCTGGTCGATTCTTACGAATACATAAGTACTATTCCACTAGTGAAAAAGTCATTTCTCATTGATTCTAATGCTATTTAAATTAAAGTTCGGGACACGAATAATGATGTTCCCGCTAACTTTATGAGAGACTTGTTGTAACATGCAGTGGGTTGTTTTCTTCTGCCTACTGTCTTTTGCATGCATTTAGGAATTGCCGCGTCCACGCCTTCAAGGAAAACGGAGGTTTGAAATAGAATGTTGAGCTCATTACGTTGGACAACGACCCTATCAGTTGGCCTAATTTTTTCATTGACATTTATGGACTAATGTGTTTTAAAAAACTCGGTTTCCGGCCTCTTTCCGTAAGTACACGGAAAAAGTAAATGAGATGGAGTAGTTTAAATTACGTTAATCTGGTGTAGTTTGTTTTGTGGGTGTGTTAAAAAATGGAAGGAACTACAACTTATCTATGTATTTTGTGTTTTATCTTAAGATGTTGCATACTTTTTTAAAAAAAAAAAAAAAATAGTTCGCATATTTCAAAAAATAGGTCAAATGTTGCTCAGAAAATTTCACAAGTGTATAAAAATGTACCAAAAGGATACTTTCAAATATCAAAGCCTAATATCAACAAAATAAAATAAAGAGAGGAAATAACAAAGTCCAAAGTAGGAGACTTTCAAATATCGATTTAGTTTTAACAACAACAAAATAAATTAAAGACTTTTGTGGGTTTTTGCGAAAATAAAAAAGAGATGCGGGTTTTTGTGGGCTGTTGGCTGTTACCTTTTTATTTACTTAGTAAACTGCTGCTTAGTGCATTAATTTTTTTTTCTCATCACATATATGCTTACACCTTTTCATTTTTTTTTTATCGGTATTACACCTTTTCATTTTTTTAATCCCCTCTCATTGCAGTCCGTGGCTACCTTCTTCAGTCATGTTATGTCAGCAATTGGAGGAAATACTGCTGGTCCAGGTTGGGTTTGCATGCATTTACAATTGCTGTTTATTTACTTGTAAGCAATATTTGTGAATGCTTTGAATCATTTTGTTTTCTTTTCTTTCTTCTTTTCCTCATTTAGGAGATGCTGTGGTGAATGTGTATATCAACCACGAGAAGAAATTTGCTTTTGTTGAAATGCGATCTGTTGAGGAGGCCAGCAACGCAATGGCTTTAGATGGCATTATTTTCGAGGTAAATCCATATTTTGAAAGACCTTCAAATTTTTTGAAGTTCAGAAAACTTACATAGGAACTCCAGGTATGAAATTTCGCGTAGTAAATCCACGAGTGCTATGCAATATCTATTATTCCTTTTGGCTACTGACATTATGCACTTAATACATTATCAAAATCCACCTGAAACTTTTTCCAAGTCTCATTCAATTATTTTCTCCAGGGTGCACCGGTTAAAGTAAGAAGGCCAAGTGATTATAATCCTTCACTGGCTGCAACCCTTGGCCCGAGTATGCCCAATCCAAATCTGAATCTTGCAGCTGTTGGGCTCACACCAGGATCTTCTGGCGGGCTTGAAGGCCCAGACCGCATATTTGTTGGAGGTTTACCGTATTATTTCACTGAAGCACAGGTTAGGGAGCTACTAGAGTCCTTTGGGCCACTAAGGGGCTTTGATCTGGTCAAAGATAGAGAAACGGGAAACTCCAAGGGCTATGCATTTTGTGTTTACCAGGATTTATCTGTAACGGACATTGCTTGTGCAGCTCTCAATGGTATAAAGATGGGAGATAAGACGCTTACTGTTAGGCGTGCTAACCAAGGCGTGCAACCTAACCCTGAGCAAGAGAGTGTGCTACTGCACGCGCAGCAACAAGTGGCATTGCAGGTAATGGAGATTTGATTGTATTCATATGCAGTCATTTATGTTAGGCTGTGATTGAAACTGAAAATGAAACAAAAAAAATTCTTTAATCACAGTCACAATCACAAATATATCTCCACTTATTCCTAAGAACAACTTATATTTGTTACTTTTCCCTCGCTATTTTCGGATTTGACAAATTTTTTTTCTAAAATATTCTTAAATTCAGTCACAACCTTTGATTTTACTTTTTAGGTTGAACATGTGATTGTTTCGTAATTTTTTGTCATTATCTTCCCAAGGGACTTCTGAAGCTGTCTACTAACACTTCTTATTTGTTCTCTTTTGCAGAGGCTCATGTTGGCGCCTGGCATCACACCAGCTACGAAGATTGTGTGCCTGACACAAGTGGTGAATGTAGATGAGCTCAAGGATGATGAAGACTATGAGGATATAGTGGAGGACATGAGAACTGAATGTGCAAAGTTTGGTGAGCGCTCTTCCCCTTTTAATTTTTAAAATACAGTATATAACTTCATTTGTCTTTTTCTTTCATAGCATTTGAACTTGTAGTTACAACTTTACATGGTTTCTATACATGAATTATATAACATAATCGACGTTTGATTTTTTTATTTTTTCTTCGTGTATTTAACACTTATCCCCTTGATGTTTACTCGCTGATATAAGCATTTTTCATTAACTTCTGCAGGTTCTTTGGTGAATGTGATCATTCCTCGCCCTCTTGCCAATGGTGAAACGCCCGCCGGTGTAGGAAAGGTTGGTTATGTGATATATAAATCTATATAATATAATAATATAAAATGTGGTTCAAATAAAGGTATTGTACGAACTATGAGAATGCCTTTTTCAACACTTATATTAAGATTTATTTCTAAAGACAACACTTATATTTAATAGCATCTAGAACCATATAATATGAGAAATAAGACCACAACTAAAAACAGCGTCATATGCAACAGTTCTAAAACTAGGACTTGTTATTATAGTGGCCCGAAAATTACTTTTTTGTTGTTGTAGGTTTTCCTGGAGTATTCAGACACTGAGAGTTCTACAAAAGCACGTCTGGGGCTGAATGGAAGGAAATTTGGAGGGAATCAAGTTGTGGCAGTTTTCTATCCCGAGAATAAGTTTTCTGAAGGAGATTACAGTGGCTAGTGTTCCCAAGTTTTGGTCTGTCCACACAAGTGTCTTTAGTTTTTCTTTTTAGCATATAGCTTTCGGTTTGTTCTCTATATTTTGTCTATTCTGACTTCAATGTATGTTAATGGAGTTGCTCACTTAGATGAATTTGAAAAACTAAGATATTCTGTATACACTCGGTAATTTTACTAATACGAACACCCTGCATTTTGGATTTACTTATTATTTGATTTGGTGATTTTAGTCTTTAGATCTACGACAATTTCTTCAAATGTGGGTGACAATTAGGCCGTATTGAAGACACTTTTTGTCTAACCTTAAGTTTTTTACAGAAACTATTCACACTTTTAGTTTTAGTGGTGATGATAGTGATAGTGATATATATATTTCACTATTGAAGACGTATCATGTTTCCCAACTCAGGTTGTTTTGGACGATTAAACTCATTTCAAGATCAAACACCTTCCTTCATTAATAAATGTTATGGTGGAAAATTCATACGCTAAGTGAATGTGTGCACAACACATTAGCGTGAACTTGAAAGATTCCGTTATAATGCGCTTGTATAAGTAGAAAAACAATTTTGTAAACTGGTAGAAACCCAATATTGTGTAGTATTCGTCCATTGATCTGATTATGTGAAATAATACTGACGCGAAAGTGTTCGAATGTTAAGGCTGACCAAAGCCAAGAAAGAAAGAAAGAAAGATGCATGCGGGAAACTTACTACATTTTAAAGCTTGTCAAGTTTACCAATGTTGTCTGGTACAGTTCCATTTAGGTTATTGCTCCCAAAATCACTGGGGCAAAATCAGAGAACATAATCTTGGCATACAAATAATTAACTACTTATTATGTGATGAAGACAAAACAAAAATTAACACTTACAGGGACCAAAGGCTTGTCCATAGAGCTGTTAAATTAAACGAGTCACTCGTGTGCTCGGCTTGACTTGTTGAAGCTCGAGCTCGGCTCGTTTGATAATGGAGCCGAGCTCAAGCTCATTTAAAACTCGAAAAGATGATTTTTATATATGTTTCTATAGTTCGACTTGATTTCGGCTCGTTCAAGCTCGAGCACGATATTAATTTGATAAATGAATTCGAGCTCAAGCTCGATTATAAGCTCGTTAAGTTAACTAGCTGAGTCGTGCTCGGCTCATTAAGGGCTCAAGCTTGGCTAGGCTCGTTTACACCCCTACCGTCAACATGTTTCCCTACAAATTACTGGATGATAAGAAAAAAAACATGGCCAATGAGCAAACATCTTATTAAGAAACAGAAACGAAAAGCTTATGAGTAGTAGATACACATTATTGAATTTTCTTCACTCACAGATATTGCAGTACTTCATTCCAGTATATTCAGTCTAGGTATCTCCCTCTGTAGAAACTATACTTTTTTGTTTTAGGCAAAAACGCAAGATTCAAATGTACTTTTACAGAATATACATAGAGTGAGTAACGATGCCTTGAAGTTTCCCTCTGCCTTGAAGAAAACAGGAAAAGTGAGGAACTCATCCATCCCACATAGGAAGTGGAATACTTTTTAACAGGCACTTGCTGTATATAATTGTATTGAAGGGCAACGAGCTCCATACTTACCTGGACGGGGTCAATGGGCGATCAAGAAGGCCCATGGCCTAGGTTGGCGACTTCCATTGCACTTTGGAGGGGCGCCCGCCTAAGGTCGGCCCAAGTGGTCGAGCCTACGTCATAATTTGTGGTCGTGGGGGCCTGCGTTCGCGCGGCCCCTGCCCAATTCCAAGTATAAATTTGGCCCAACTATATTGGGCTAGTTAATTTTGAATTAGAATTATAAAAGTATTTTTTTATTTTCTCTTTATTATTAGTTTTTATAAAAAAAGTATTTTTAGCCACTTCCAATTTGTACTCGCATAAAAAACTGATTAGAATTTGAAATTGATTGTGCTGTGTAATATAGTTTAAAATAAATTTCGTTTTAATATTTGTTATCATTTAATATATATATATGTAATACTACGAAAACCAATTTAATCAAATATGCTAAATTTGTTTAAGTTTATAATAATACTAGTGCAATATCCGGGTGTTGAATTAGAAAGTTTTTGTAAAAAATATTATTTTTTTTAAAAATTAAAATAATTTAATTTTATATAAAATACTACTTTGGGTTTTAATTAAATTGTCAAATTATAGTTTTTTAATCATAATAAGTAAACACCTGTACATTAAATAAAAATGTCAACCCGTTTTGAATTTGTTTACTTATATCATATAATAATAACGATATTATTTACTATTACATAAGCAAAAAAATATATATCTTAAGTAAATAGAAATATTATGGTGATATGTATATGCATAAGTGTAGAATATGTTTATTTAATATTATGAAAAATATTAATTGATAAATAATTTTATTTTCTAATTAATTGTAATAAATAATTTTATTATTATTATAAAAATAAATATAATTTAATTATTTTATATTTACAATATGTATATGAAAATGTCAACCCGTGTTGAATTTTTTTACTTATATCATAATAATATCGATATTATTTACTATTACATAAGTACAAAAATATATATCTTAAGTAAATAGAAATATTATGGTGATATGTATATGCATAAGTGTAGAATATGTTTATTTAATATTAAGCAAAATATTAATTGATAAATAATTTTATTTTCTAATTAATTTTAATAGATAATTTTATTATTATTATAAAGATAAATATAATTTATTTATTTTATATATACAATATGGATGTCAAATCGAAGCTCATCAATAGATGATTAATTTGATATATTATATATATAAAACCGATAAGAAATACAAAAGTTATCAACTTTTAAAATGTATTTGCAATTCAATGGTTATAATAGGAAATGATATTAAAATACAATTAATACAAATATTAATTTATATCCAAGCCTAACTCCAAAGCATGATTTTTTGCCAAATAGGATTCCAAAGCATGAGAATTTGCCACGTAGGCTCAGCGCATTCTGAAATTATATATAGAGGGGATTGATATTTTTTCTTATCTAATTTCAGAATGAAAGATACCATAACAAATAAATATAGAGATAAAAATAGGTGAATGTTTTTAATATATAATCTTATTTTTTTAGTCTATATATATTAAGTTTATATAAGTAAAAATTAACGAGCCGCATGTGCATCCGTATTCATGTTATAAATTTTGGATGTCTAATACTATATCTATTTGAATTCGAATTTACTAATATCTGAATTCAAATCAAGAACAGAATAAAACCTAGACAAGATGATGTAAAACTCATCCCGCAAAAGCATTTATATGAAACAGTGATAAATAGAGATACAAGTTCCAAGTTAAAAAAACAAATTCAATATCTACATTTTGCCATCAGTTGGGAGAGGAGCAAGAAAGTGGTTCAATGATTGAAAGTCCCACATCGGAAATGGGTATGCATTCAACAGATAGTTCTGATATAAAATGGCCACAGCCTACCATTCCAAACCTCACGCAGCTGCGTGGTGAGCACAGAGCGAACTATTCTTTCGCCTTTTACTAAAGAATACCGTGTGCTCTCCACACTAAAAGCAGCATACGCCCATTTTTGGAGGGGACACACTTTTTTTTGGATTGTGTCCCTACAATTAAATTCTAAATTTTTTAATGTTAAAATGGAGGGAAACACACTTCTCTTTGGATCGTGTCCCTACAATTATATTCAAACTAATCTCATTATCTCAAACTAGTAAAGCTAAGAAAATTGGAAAGGGTTTTAGATCCACGGGCCAAGAAGATAAATGGTCAACAATGTAGCATTTTGATCTGAATGTACACGATTTAGCTATAGCCATATAGCATATAGGTTAAAAAGTAAGGTAATCCTTCGACCCATATGATTTAGCTATAGCCATATAGCATATAGGTTAAAAAGTAAGGTAATCCTTCGACCCATAAACAATTCAGGCTGATGATCGGAATGGACAACTCAACTTATCAACCCCAATAGGCCCGAAAATCATGAATTACACCCAACTTATCAACCCCAGTAGGCCCAAAAATCATGAATTACACCGACAGAAAGGCCTTCATCCGACGGGCCTACAACTTCCATTATAGATGTCTGTTGATCACACCTGGATTGGTGGGCAACAATCATCACTCTGTCTCGTTATTCGAACAAGACGCCATACAGATTTGTCATCCCCACTCAGATGCGCTGGCCACCGGTGGATACCACCGTTCTCCCCATCAGTCATCTCTTTTGGCAATCAGGGATCGCCTTCAAAGGCCATCTTGGAGTCTTTCAAAATTGTGGACTAGATCACTGAAATCTTTACAACATTATCATTGGTTGTTTGGCTCTATAGCCTCAAGGCCGCCACCTCCATCTACCATTACGCTATAAAAAATTCCCCACCATTGACGGGGAAGGGATGCATTATGATGATCAACGTGCCGCATGCGAATGCATTTTGACGATCCCATCAAATAAAATATTCACCATCCAGAGTGGAGAAGGCTCGTCTTCACCACCACTCAATTCTCCCCAAGACGATGAGTTATATCTAGCTCGCGACCGGGACCGTTGTCCACGAAAATAATCAATGCAATTGATCGACGAGCTGAACCTACGCCTACCCTTTGAAGAAAGTATCGTTAATTCACTTCAACCTGTTGAAGAGGTCTATCTAATCTGCATGGATGAACCCTTATTCACCAAATATCTTTAGATCGACAGAGACTTGGCCGAGCATTATCGGTCTCAATTGATCAATTTATTGAAGGACAACCTTAACGTCTTCGCATGGTTCCACGAAGACATGAATCGATCCAAACATCACTCGCCATCGTCTAAACCTCGACAAGACCACAAAGCCAATTTATCCAGAAGATAATGAAGTTTGGGCCTGATTGCTATCAAGCATTAGAGCATGAGGTATCCACGTTGATCGAAAACAAATTCATTCCAGATGCCCGATACCTTGAATGGGTCTCCAACCCGGTGCTAAAAAAAAAAGGCAAATGGATAATGGCGATTGTGCACTGACTTCACCATCTCAATCGCGCATGTCCTAAAGATTGCTACCCCTTCCACATATCGACTACATGGTCGACGCCACATTTGGCCACGAACTTTTGAGTTTTATGGATGTCTACTTAGGGTATAATCAAATACCTATGCATCATGACGATCAAGAGCATACTACCTTCTACTCCGCTCGAGGCTTATATTGCTACAGGATGATGACATTTGAGTTGAA